CCTTGGAGTAAGTACTGCTTTGGCAAGATTTAGCTTTCTTAGACTAGCTTTAGGAATTTTGCTTAACGTCGTTAGTTTTAACATTTCGTTTTTTACTTCAATATCTGTTTTATTCTCTGTAGTTGACTTGCTGGTGAAAGTGGGAGAGGTTGTGGACAAGCTCTTTGATTTGGATGAGAAACTAATGTTGGAATGGATTAGAAATGGGACTTCCCAGGCTCTGGACCAACCCCAGGAAGATTCTGAAGAGCAGCCAGTGTTTAGGATTGTGCCCTGTATACTTGAAGCTGCCAAACAAGTACGGTAGGTGAGCTTTTTTGTGCAAAATGTTCTGGAAAAATCCAATGGCTAGAAGTATTCTTAGATATAAAAGTCTTATTAGATTTCTTTCAAACAGCCAATCTTTGTTAGGTTTGATTCGCTACTAATATTTGTGATGACAATTGTCTTAATCCGTTTGTATTACTATAAAAAGTACCTGAGGCTGGACAGTTTCTAAAGGAAAGAGGTTTATTTGGCTCACACTTCTGCAGGCTGTACAAGAAGCTTGGCACCAGCATCTGCTTTTAGTGAAGGACTCAGGATTGCTTCTACTCGTGGCAGCAGCCAGCATATGCAGAGATCACAGGGCAAGAGGAAGCAAGGTGGGGGGAGTTGCCAGGCTCTTTTTAACAACCATCTCTCTAGGGAACTAATAGAGTAAGAACTCCTTCATTACTGCGAGGGCAAGGATGAGGATGGCACCGAACTGTTCCAGGCATTCACCCCCATGACCGAAACACCTCCCATTAGGCCCCAGCTCCAACATTAGGGATTCGATTTCAGCGGACAAACATCCAGATTATAGCAATAATGTATTTGCTCTTTGTAAGAATGATAATTACAAAGTTCCTATTCTAATTTATCATTTAGGTATAGGCTATTATTCAGCACTAATTGTGCTTTCTGTCTTCATCATCAGTAATTTTATGTAATTTAAAACAAAGAGGAAAGATTTTCTTGTGCTTTATTTTACATTGAACACTTAACAACTTCTTCAATTAATGTTGGACATCATTTATTTTCTTGCTCCTTGGGTTTATATGCCAGTCTTCACTAAGTAACTGACTTTTGAACTTTAATGTCTTGGCAAGAGAGATTACCAGGTCATAGGTCATTGAAACTGCTTATTGCTAATCACTAGAAAATTCATTTTTGAATTGATCTGCTTACTGGTAGTAGTGCCACCTTCATGCTTTTTTAATAAGCCACATTAAAACTATTAATTTTATATCCGTTATCTAATTGCTCACTAAACTCATCATTCTTCCCCCAAATCTGCTTCATCAGTCTTCTCAATCTCAACAGATGATGTAATCATTATCCCATTTGGATAATGTGGAAGAAGAAATGGAGAAGCCATTACTGAGTCTTTCCCACCCTACTCTTGTCCCATGGCCAGTCAATTTCCAAGCCTTGTTCCTGACTTTTTCTGGGATCCCAGTCATGCCAACCTGGCAACTATTGTCTCTCACCTGGAAAACTAACTGCCACATCTCTTACCTGAGTCCCCTGCCTCTAGGCTTGCTCCTTCCAAGCCTATACTTTAGACCCGTCTTTGCAAATCGCACGCACTCACCTCTCATTTTCATACTTCAGACTTTCAAATTGGCCTTCCTTAGGATAAGGTCCAGATTTAAAAAAAAAATACGGCTTATAAGGTCTTGCACAGTGCCTCTCCATCCTTATTCCTTGTACTCTGTTTCAACTGTATAGAATTTTCTTCATTTCTTCAACTGAACCACTCTCTTTTGCCTCCAAGCCTTTGTGCAGTATGTTTCCTCTACCTCAAACACTTTGCCCTTTCAGGTTTCTGTATAAACATCATTTTTCATTTACCTTCCCTGACCCTCCAAACTAAATTAAGTCTGCTTGCTTTGTGGTCTTCTAGCCCCTGGAACTTCCTCTAGTGCTATATTCATGTCACTCTATTATAATTACCCCTTTAATTATCTTCTTTCCTTTTAGACTGTAAACTTTATGAAGATAGGGATAATGTCCTATATGTCTCTGTTTTCCCAGCCCCTAACATAGTGCCTGAAAGAAGTAGGTACTTAAATAAATATTTGCTGAAACATCATTTTAATTGTGCACTATCTTTTCACTTAATTGTTTGGTTGAAGAAGCAAGATTTTGATTTTCTGAGAATCCAAACTATTGATCAGAAGAATGACACAGTTTTAGTGTTCTCAGCTAGGGAGGTAGGATAATCCTAAGAAGTTTTAAGAACGTCATTATTGTCGATTCTGAGTGCAGTGGGCCTTACATTGATATAAAAGGCTCAGTCAGTTTTTGTTCTGATTATTCAGGTAAACCAGAAGAAGTATCAAGTAGCAGGTCTCTGAATTGTTGCTTCTGTGGGATAAAGCCAAAAAGAATTTTTACTTCTCGTCTTGTATGTGTTGATTATATTATATGATTTGTTTGTTTCTTTTTGCTGTTTCCCCTATTAGAATTTAAGCTGTAGTGAGCACAGAGACTTTATTCTGTTCCCTGTTTTATCTTCAGTGCCTAGAGCAGGCTGGCAGAGAGTAATAAATGCTTGTTGAATGAATACAATCTCCTGGATAGTACAGTTGTTGATTCAATGTTTTTGCTTTTTTTAGTTCTGAAAATCCAGAAGGGCTTGATGTTTATATGCATATCTTACAGCTGCTTACCACAGTGGATGATGGAATTGAAGCAATTGGTAAGGTGGTTTATTGAGATGTACTATAGTTACTCATCTAATTACTTGCTGTTTTAAAATTACTGCTTTCTTTATCATCTATATTAAGTACAGTGTCCTGACACTGGAAAAGACACTTGGAATTTACTTTTTGACCTGATCTGTCATGAATTCTGCCAGTCTGATGATCCACCCATCATACTTCAAGAACAGAAGACAGTGCTAGCCTCTGTTTTTTCAGTGTTGTCTGCCATCTATGCTTCTCAGGCTGAACAAGAGTATCTAAAGATAGAAAAAGGCAAGTATCATTTTGGTTCACTAAATTAAATTCTAGACTGTCAGATTTTAAAGCGCAGGCTTGTGTTTGTTCATTATTTGATTTATTTCTTCCATCTTTAAAAAATGCTTTTATTCCCCTAATTATAAAAATATTACATGCTAAATGCAAAAAAAAATTTGTAAAATTTATAAAGGACATCAAGGAAACAGTGCTTGTGATCTCACCATCCAGAAGGCAATTACTACACACGCACATATATTTTTTTAAAGTCCTGCTTTTCGGCCAGCTTCTTTCATTTAGAAATATAAAATGAATAGTTTCCTATGTAAACACATGTTCTTTCACAGAATGATTTTTATGACTGCAATTAAATCCATGATTCATCTAGAATTTATTCTGGTGTTATATATGAGGTATGACTTCAATTTATTTTTTCTTATAACTGGTACTATGCCTCAGCGTTATTTTTCCAGAGGGCCAGTTGACTCAACATCATTTAGTGAATAATACAGCTTACCACTCTGATTTGAAATTTCATCATTACTATTTTTTAAATTCTCCTTTATATTTTATTCAGTTCCATTGCTTTGTTCATGTATTAGTAGCCATAGTATTTTAAGTATTAAGGTTTTATGTTTTAATACCTAGTAGGGCTAATCCCCCTTCATTCTAATTTTTCAGAATGTTTTTGACTATTTTTGTTTATCACTGAATTAGACTGACAGGTTCCAAAAACAAAAAAACTTTCTAA